AATGTATTGCATAGTAACCGGTCCCGGGGACTATTGTGACGACGGGAAAATTTTAAGTTTATGTTCGTCAAAGGTTAAATATTTTACTCCTAATGTGTTTCGTGCGATAATACCCCACACCAAGTTTAGGGACAAGTACCCATTTGTTTGTCGACGCGTCTGATCCTAAGGCACTTACGACACATACACTGTCCGAAAATGTTTGTTTCTTCCCTTCTTTTTTCTCTTCTGTCTTGCGTCTGTCTCACTTGATTTCTTGATAACCACGTGGATCTTGTGCTAATTATCGTACTTCTGTTACGAAGGGAGTGTAAATATATGTCGAGAAAAATCGTCAAATCGAAACCGTACGGTTTAGAAGTCGGGACGCTGCGGAAAACGGTTTTTCTAGAAGGCGTGGCGTCGTCCGAAAATAGCCTCTAGAATTGCGGGACAAACGAAACTCCACTGGTTTAGATCGGCCACGGTTAGGAGAGACGTGTGCAGGACGCACGACGTATATTGGCTCTCGGATGTAGCAGCACAAAAAAGAACAACCAGTAGCGGAAGGGTTTAACGGCGATTAATAATTAGACAGAGGAACGGACGCCGCTTCGGTTAGTTTGCTCGCGCCTTTACGTAACGGAAATTGTTGTGGAGGCGTGAAACCAACGGGAGGAGAAAGTACCCGGGCGCCCAGTGAGATCATGAATTTGAAACGTAGTGTATTCCGGACGAAAGATTAATCGTAACGGCTGCCTAATACTCACCGGAAGTTCAGTACGGACTCTCGTCGGAAGCGTGGTTAGGTGTGGTGTGTGTGTGTGTGTGTGTGTGTGTTGTGTTGTGTGTGTGTGTGTGTGTGTGTGTGTGTGTGTGTGTGTGTGTGTGTGTGTGTGTGTGTGTGTGTGTGTGTGTGTGTGTGTGTGTGTGTGTGTGTGTGTGTGTGTGTGTGTGTGTGTGTGTGGTTACATGGTATCGACTCCAAACTAGTCATAAACACACACACCCCAGACCCCCTGTACAGCTCATCATTAGGCCGATTTAGAGACCGCATTATAAATCCCCGTAGACCTGCACAGATCAATACACACACACACACACCAGCTCCATTATCCAGATCATTACTATAATCTGTTCCCAGAAGGCTGTGACCTCGCCCTGATAATGACCCCACACACACACTTACACACACTCACACACAGTGCACCTCCTGGCATCCCTTACACCCCACAGCATGGACCAGGAGGAGTTACCCTGCACCCCTGCCACTTTTCTCTCTACTCGTCCCCCGCCCATACCAGAAGCTCGCCCACTTTGGTGCCACCCAAAAATGTAGACCCTACCAAACTCTTACAGTTTTCCACTAGGGGACTTAAGGACCCGGGATGAAACCACAGGACATTTTGGCGAAGGGGTTTAGGATAATAATTGTAATCTGAAATTTCGAGCACTTGTCTCTTTATTTGCTTATAGACGAAGATGCCCATGCTGTTAAGAAAAAAAGAATAACTTAAATAATCATTTAAAAATAACTAATGTCCCTTGAAATGTGATCCTGAAAGCTCGAACTAGGCCTGTCTGTTACACACACACAGTCTCAGAGGAGATGAGGTCATTCAATTTGCTGATATATTTCTAAGAAGAAATGCAGACGGACAGGTACATGTAGACAGATCAAGTATCAGTCAGATCATCTCCGAGCCCCGGCTAGCGGCAGGTTGCTATGGCATTGCTAAAATGTTGTCATGGTAAACAATCCCAGTGTTGTCAAGCAGAAGTGTTGAGTTTCTGACTGAAAACCGAAGATGCTAGATGTGTAGAGAAAAACAAGAGTATATCGTGCTGCAGACTCCCACTGAAGTCAGCGGACAGAAGTCATTTAAATGTCCAGTTTGATCAGATTCTCCGGAACGATCCAGTCTACTGATTTCGTTTTTTAGACATGAGACTTAATGGTTAAGTTCTACTGTAGTAATTGTAGAGACAAAACTCGTAAGTAGCCCTCCAATTTCAAACTTCATTGCTTTCCGCAGTTTTTATTGAATATCTTCGGGTTTGGGACTGCAGGTAAAAGTAAGCCGTTTCACTTTAGGCTTGGGGAACCTGTTTTGAATGTTATCATACTCATCATATTGCTGTTATCAGTTATTTTACAAAAATACATACATTTTAACCTGCTAGAAGAGCTAAGGGAAAGAACAGAGGATTACCAATGTTGGTATGTTTCATCCTTTTTGGACCATAAATGTCTGTACACTACGTCATGCGTGATAATTGTTAAGACTGACGGGCGACAAATCCTTTCAGTTGCCAAGTTGCATTGAACTCATTGAGCAAAATAAAGGGGGTTCAAAGGGTTTGACCTTTGATACAACCATTATTTAGCATTTTGCATATATCCTCTGTATATTGATTGGGTTGGTGGAGGTGGGGGTATGAATGTGTGCTGCTGTACCATAAAGTTTGTTTCCTGACAAACAAATTAGGCCTCCAACATGAATATGAGGTAGACTGTCACTATGGAGACACTCACTGACTTCACAGACCCACCGGTTAATATGTAACACAGAGCAGCACACACACGGCCATAAAGCGGTTTATAGAGTTTAGTTGAACTCAGACATAACCATCTCGTGTGGTAAAAGACTACACACAGTTCAATGCTTCATGTTTGATAGAACAGTCTGTGTTAGTCATATAGTATTTCTGGTCGGAAAACCCCTAGTAAAAACTATATTGTTGTGTTTAATACTGCAGTTGGGGGGGCAAACAGCCTCCTGGCACTTGCTCTGAAGGCCACATTTCAAACTTAAACTTCCTTTTGGCTAGTTATAAATTACACTTAGAACTGTGTTTGTGACTTCTTAGCCAAATATTCAATGATAAAACATCTTTGACTTTAGGTATTATTTTCTCTAAGACCTAATAAGTTTCTTTAAGGGATACCAAACGGTTTGGATCTGATGAAATGTTATTAAACAACCCACCTGCTGTCCACACAGTGTAAAGATGTCGTCACTTTGACCAAGTTTAGACACCTTACAGTACCACCAGACTGACCATCACCACTTCCCACTGATGTCACTATGCAAACAAACTAACAGCTCTGTAAGCGAGCAGAAAACTGACGTTAGATTGACAAGACAATTGATCTGGGAGGAGCTGCGGTGGCCGCTGGTGGCTTGGGGCGAACTCAGTCTGGCCGTCCCGTGAACTCCGCCGCCACCACCGGTCTGTCAGTCTGTTGTGCTGTTAAACAACTGCAGTCAATCCATCCCACCGCCTGACTGCGTTGTATGGAGACAGACTCTATACAGCGTCACTGCCTGCCTTTTGTCACTCTGACTGCCATTCACTCTCTGCACAGCGTTCTGCAGCTGCTTCACACAGCCAATAACGCTCTAGAAACTGAAAGTGTCTGCTCTCCGCTCGCCATTGTGCAGCTGAATGTTCGGACCTGAAGGTTAAGAAGTGGCGGTAGTGTCAGCAGCGGCGAGACTGACTGCTCTGCGAAGCCACGATTCACACAACAATGCGCTTTTCACACTGACCTCTGGCTGGAAAATAGGCTTAATGTCCGCACAGCAGCAGAGCGGCCGACTGTTTACCTTTCACACACGCACACACACACATACAGAGACTCCTTCGCCGTGGTGTGTAAAGTCACAAAAGCCTCCACAGTTTGATGTGCAGTGTGACCACGCGAGCTGACACACGACCTGTGAACCATTCATGTGTGTGTGTGTGAGTGTGAGGCCAAAGGAAAACACTTAAAGAAGTTGTGACTTTGCTGCAGGGCATCATAGGTAATCTGGTTTGACGGACAGACGGACGGACAGACAGACAGGTGACCGGCGATTATGTGTCAGACCGATTGCCATGGTGGCAAAACGACGGTAATGTGTGTGTGACCTTTGACCTCGTCATTTATGGATAGCTTGTAACACCTCTGTTGCAGTCGAAAAAAACTGAAATGTAAAGTGTGTTTTGTGTGAGTTAAATCCATACACAGAGCACTCTAACATTTCTATTGTGGGTTAAGTGTCAGCCAGACACCGCCTGCTACAGTGCACCTGGGAAACCAGCGTCTGGGAACTTCAGTCTGCAGCAACCTCCACAACTTTATCAAACTGGTTTCCTGGATTCATGCAATCTTATGTTTTGCTGGCAAGCAAGTTAATAATGATGAAATCAACTCAAAGATGAAATGGCAGAAAACACTGAGGGAGATAATTAATTAATACATTTTCTGTCTCTTTTACATTACAACTAGACATGTAATTCATTGTTAATATGAAAAAAAAGAATTCCATAAAATGAATACAGTAACTAGGCCAGCTTTAAGGGAATAAGTCCACATTTTATGCAACAGATTTTTCGTTTTGTACGCATATTACACATTTAAAATCAAGCTTAGTATAGATATCATGTCTGTTGTTTTCCTAGTTTGGTGTAAAAGTACTGGATTCATGGTTCTGACCTCAACACCATTCCATACCTTTAGGATAAACTGGAAATCCAACTGTGAGCCAGACTTTATCACCCAACCGTGTCAGACCTTACTAAAGCTCTTGCGGCTAAACGGGAGCAAATCTCTGCTGGTGGACAGTCTGAAACCAGCAGCACAGAGGCTGTAAACTCTGGCACATCCCTTACATTTGCCCTTGTGGTGTACATCAGCTACGGTTTTACGTCCCAATAGTGTGGTTTTCGTTGCGAGCTAAAGTGAATTGGACACACACGTGATTGTGTAGACGAGTAGTTTAGCAAATTAATCTCTCTTGCAGACAACAAGTATTCTATTGCTGACAGCACCCAACCGAGGGTGGCTGAGTGCAGTGTGTGTGTGCATATAATCTGTGTGTCTTTGTCCCGGTGGATTAGCAGATTAGCTTTACTGATGTAACTGTGACTCACCCGATTATACTGAGTGATGAACAGGGTGATATAAAATAAGGTCCGTATTCCAAATTACATACATTTTCTTTTTACTTCAAGTGTGTACTGCAGCTTCCATTACATATGTGTACTGTTGCATGAAGTTGGATACAATTTGGATTATATAATTTTGTCTAAACACTGAAAACAATTTATATGTGACCAGCAGCTCTTTAGTTTTGTCTCTAAGTTCACAAACAAATAATTAAGAGATGTTTTTTTTAGGCTGTGTTTGCATTAACAAGTGGATGCACCTATGTGGTTGCAGCTATTTGATCTTGTTCTACACTCTGCCACTATGGAAGGCAAGTATTGCTATTTGTCCGCCTCTAAAAAAAAATGTATCCAATATTTTTGGCAGCCCACTTATATTTAATTTCTTCTAAATGTGTGTGTTTGTTACCTTTGATCAGCTCCTTCAGGGTGTTGTACCATATGTGTGTGTGTTCTGTGGAGGCGTTGTGGAGGTGCAGCGTATCTTTCTCCAGCCTCCTCCCTCTCCTCTTGCAGCAGAACAGAGCCACACCGAGCACGGCCCCCCCCGACTGCTGTCCCGCCGCCCGCCGCCGCTTCACCTTCACTGCATACACATCCTGCAGCAGCAGTACACCTGGCTGCGGGACGCTCGTCTCACCTGCACAGAGAGAGGTCGATTAAACACACGCACAAAATGCACCTAATGTTAATAACACTAAAAATATATACAAATAAATAAATAAAGTATTAACTGAAATGTGAGACATTTTCTATTTTCTATTGATGTAAATGAAAACCAAAATATTGCTTTTATTTTGAAAATCAAACAAGCAGAGACATGTCACAGCAGGTGGACAAACATCTGTACATGAAAAAACAAACCCTTTAATTAAATATGAATCCGCTTTAATCACCAAAAATATCTGAATCCATCCAGATTTTCACGTCTAATGATGTATTAAAGGAAATCACATAATAGTAAAAAACACAGCACATATCAGCTTTGATTGTCGAAAAACATGTTCCATAGACATAAATGACAAAAAAATATGTTAAGCTGCGGCTTTGGCCACATGTGATAAATTAAACATGAGACGATAATGATAAATATCAGCATAAAAAACTAAAAACCAAAAACCATGCACCTTCAACAACAGATCCAAACCACTCAGAGAGCACCAATCCATCAGGTTATATATGATACAAGCTGATTAACTCCCCCTCTCTGTGAAATACCCTCCCGCTGCTATCAAATACCAAAAACCCAAAACCACCTGCCTTCTTCCACCCGCCGAGGCCAGCATCCATATGTCAGGGTCACAGTGTGTCTGTCTGTTGTTGTTGCTTCCTTCATGTTGGGTTAATCTCATATTGTAAATAACACAAATGAACATTAATATGACCCACTGCTGGCTTTATTTTTCATTTTAGTCAGAGCAAGGTGTGGCTGAATGTACGACGCTCTTAGCTGATTATAAGTCACCCAACAGTGTGTCCAAATATTCTCACAAACTCAAATTTTTCCTCACATATGCAGTGAAAAAGCCATTAAGGAGAATAATGGCTTCATTTTATACATTGCTGTTTTCATTCTCTATACACACCTATTTGCAGTTTGGCCTAATAACCTAAAAACATTGAAAGAGAGACAGATTTTCCATCCACCCCAATGAAGATGACATTGATCTGAGTTGACAGAACCCACATAGTTGCTGTTCACACACATACATACTGTATACACAATGTACCCACAACAAACACACAACACGCACACTCATACACTGTTGGAGTCCTGTCTCATGGTGTCATGCCATGTGGCTCACTCCGAGGACGTTTGGATCATACAGAGTTCACACACACACACACATTACAATGGGGTAACATTACACATTGATCGTATAAATGCTCGACCACTCTGATATTGTAATTGATCAGTTATTGTTCCCTTAAAATTCTGACTATTGTAAAACCTCCAGAGATATTTAACTGCCTGTAGGAGATTTCAGTTTTTATCCAGAATAAAGAAAAGCCGGGTATATTAGGTGAATTACAACAACAAAAATTGCAGATGGTCATGAAGTAGCTCCAGAAAATATAATCATCCCAGAACAGTCCGTTCTTTTATGTTTTCATTTTCTTGTAAAATGTTATTGACAATAGCCTCAGTCTAGATGAACTAACATCAGCATCAAAATCAGGTTTATATTTTTACCATAAGTTTAATTATTTAAAATTGTGTTCTGAGTAATTGTATTAGTAATTGGATATGCTGCTGTAACAAAATAAATTCCCAATCTGGGATCAATGAAGTACATCTTATCTTATATGTGCCCCAGTGGCCATTGCAAACAACTAAAATTGGTCTGCATGTATATTCCATGATTTTGTTAGTACAAAACAGTCCAGTCTCACCTTTCCGACAGACAGAGAGACAGGCTGCTGGGTGAAACAGGAGGAATTCATGTGCACAAATAAACAACTACTGATCCATTTATATAGAAATATCTAATCAACATACACACACAGCACGCTGGCAGGCTGAGTATGTGTGTGTTAATCTCCTCACACTGAGACACTCGAATAACCCCCCACAGGCCGAACCAACTGCTCTATACTACTGCCAACAAACAACCACACAAACACACACACACACACACACACACACACACACACACACACACACACACACACACACACACACAGTTGGCTGCCGTAATGGCATTAGCTTGTATGAAATACAACAAAACAGATTGGCATCAACCAAATGCGCGCGCACACACACACACACACACACACACACACACACACACATTGTATTCACAATTTCATCCTGCTCCACTAATCAGTTCTGTTTGAATGGATTTCAACTAAAAACAAGCGCACAACACAGGACATTTCCTAATAATTGAAGTAATTTCATAATATTACCACCATGATACCAACCATTACAAAATCAATACAACATGACTGCACCAAAGAATGTGTACACCTTTAAAGAATCAGGCACACTACTTTGTAGTCCCTTATGTTTGCTTTTTAGGTGTGTTATTTATTTATAGCTTGCTGAGATTGTGGTGGTGGCCATGTTAAGAGACATGCACTGGCAATCAGTCCATGTAGATGAGATTAACATTGGATAATTCAAATGATTAACTCTGATCATGCAACATCTGTGTGTGTGTGTGTGTGTGTGTGTGTGTGTGTGTGTGTGTGTGTGTGTGTGTGTGTGTTTTTGTCCAGATGTCATGTTTAAGGTGGTCTCAACATGACCGAACTTCTCCATTACACCACCAGCTGCCTCGAAATACACACTGCCTGCCTGTCTGTCTGTCTGTCTGTCTGTCTGTCTGTCTGTCTGTCTGTCTGTCTGTCTGTCTGTCTGTAGTGTAGCCATGTCGCTGTGGTAACTGACCTGTGGGGTTCTCCGGGATGATGGGGATCCACGTCAGCCTCGTTTGGGTGAGTAACACATCATGACTCTTCTTCCCCACTTTGAAGATCCCACGCAGCAAAACACCCTCACTGGCAAAACACACCAAACACACACAGTTTATTTGAATATGCCACATACATGTTTGTAGGCCTACTAAACAAAAGAATGAATTATGCAGACTAATGTCAGAAACCCCAAATCATCTTTTTCCATTCTATATGATGTAATCAAGTGTCCTTCAGTAATATATAACAAGTTCATATGTGTGTAACAAAGTGAATGTTCTTAAATCATACCTGCAGGAGTGAAAGTGTCGAAAAGTCAAAACAATAATTGTGGCATTGATTAGAATGTCCCAGGAGGACACCAAATATAGTCTTTTACGGCCAAAATAAATGTCTCAATCCCCTTAATTGGACGAAACAAAATGCAGAGTGCACTAATGTACAGGTTATACAAGGGGGGCGTGATCAGTTTCTGATGGGATAATTGGACAGCCTATAGATGCTAATGGTTAAAACTAGCAAACACCAACCTGGTTATTCTTAGGGTGTGTAACTTTAAAGGGTTGAGTTTCTAAAGGGTGTTTTTTTTAAATTACACTGTACCATAAAAGCTGCCATTCAAGCTACACAACTTCATGCACGCTGGGCCTTCATGAAGCTCGTGCCCTTTTATTTGTTTCGCCACTGTCCCTCTGACGGCATGAGTCCGCCTCTGCTCACAACAAACACTCACCTGTTCTTCTCTTCCCCCTTAACCTCCTCTTCTTCCTCTTCTTTGCACTTCTCCTCCTCTTCCTCCCCATTCTTCTTTTTCTTCTTCTTCGCACTTTGTTTTTCTTTCTTCTTCTTCGTGCTGTCGCTCTGCTCTCTCTGGAGGTCCTCCTCATTCTCCGACATGTTTATCGAGTCGATCGACGAACAATCAAACAAACACAATAAGTTATGAGGTGGTTCCTTTATGAAAAACCAAGCGGCAGATAAACATACGGTGAGCTGATCACAACTGATGAGCTATGTTGTATTTCCGGGGTGTCGTCGCTATGGAGACGGGGAGCCGCTTTTTCAGACACTTGGCAGATTCACCAGCGTCTAATTAACGTTCGTGCGCGCTCCCGCGTCTATCCTTCATCCAAGCGGGAATGCGCAAACAGTGAGTCAACTTAAAGCAGTCCTATTTTATAACAATATTTAAAGTTCTCTGGTTATACTTAAATACAGTCATTAGGTACTTGTATATTAACTCGAGAATTTCTAATGTGTACTTCTTGTCTGAATGTGTACTACTTCTTTATAGGCCTAGTTCCTATTACTCTTACTTAAGTTACGAGTTACTTTGCATATTTCACATGTTTTATGAGAACTAATGAGTATAGCACAGTGTAGACAATAGTAGATCCCATGTTAAAAGTAGACTAAAAGTCCTAATTAGTCACATTATGCATAATGTCTGTTTTAGAACAACGTATATATAGATGCCGTTAATAACTGCTGTGTAATATATCCTGGCTGATAAATCCTTACAACTGTTACAAGGTGTGTATTTTGTATTTTGTAAATATTGTGTAACTTGCTGCTGTTAAATACTAACCACCTATGTGCAATATGTGCTAGATGTGAAATATATAGATGCCGTAACTGTGTAATATATACCTGGCTGCTAAATCCTAAGAAATGTTACAGGATGTGTATTTTTTTAAATTATGTAACTTTTTATTTTTTATTATATTTGTTATTATATCATAACTTAGTACTTTTTTTTAATGCATGTCACATATTTAACATTTGTAACATTAAGCTGTCTGTGGCAAATGTCCCCTCCGTGGGACTAATAAAGGTATTCTGATTCTGAGCCTAATTAAAAGGCACTGGGTGCAGAGGGGCAGCTTTGGCGCCCACCGACTCCCTTTATATCCCTGCTCTCTGCTCTGCCTTTGATTACCATGGAGCACTAATGCCCCTCAATCTCTGCCGCACATGCTACCCCTCACTGTCTGAGAGCACTTCTCCCCCCGGCTTTATCTCACAGCTCAGGGCAGGAAAGTCCTGTTTCGTTTTTTCTCAAGCTGAAACGAAATTTGATGAAACATTTTTTGTGTTAGTGAGTGCCGCCGGATATGTTAAAAAAGTTGTATATGTTAATTTGTCTCCAAAAGGAAAGTCGGATTTATAAATTCTGGTGATGTATCCTGAAAAAAGGTCTGAAAGTGTGGAGTTGAAGAGAAGTGAGTTCAACCATATCTCCAGTGTTGCTCCAGAAAAACGGTTTGAAATCACATAAACATCCTTCATCACTCAAACATCCTTCATCACTCAAACAAACAGCTTAGATAAAAAGGTCAAATAAAATGAGTCGATTAACATATAAAATATAGGCAAGCGTTAAACATTTGTAAAAAGTACACATCCATGGCAAAGAAAATAAAAAACAAAAAAAGAATACTAGCATTATATATGTTTTTTTAAACTTTTTTTAGCAACTCTTAAAAAACATCAGAAAAAGGCACATCAATGGTCACGTAGTGAACATTAAAAAGTCAAATAAATACTGGAAACATTTTGAGAAAGCGAAATGTATGTGTGAAATATTTTCCAAATATGATAGAAATATTATTTCCAAACATCATTATAAAGGTATGTGGACATATACAGAGGTTGCAGTGAGTATAAAGAATAATAAAGTACAGGAGGGTGTATTTCACATGAGCAGTGGATTTACAGTACACAGCAGTATTTACAGTTACAGGCAGAGGTCTTTTTGACTATGCTAATGATCTGTTTACTCGACTGAGGAAAGGCAGCTTCCTATAACAACCTCTGCCACTATGCACAAAAAACACACTCAAAAACACACTGTGGCCAATTTGAGTTTATCCCAGTGTGGAGTAAGGGAGGTAATCCCCTGCTGTAATTGCATTCTGGGAGGTTTCTGAGAGGCTTGATACACCACTGAAGCCACTTAGCGGTGAAAGATGCGTCTCAGGTCTCTCCAAGGTCTGTGCTCGACAACATATGTCTCTCAATTCCTTAATCTCTCTATTCCCAAACAAGATGGTTAAAACATGCATCAGGCCTGGTTATTAGGGGCCCCTGTGATGCACCTCTTCATTTGACATCACTTGAAATGAGCAGCCGAGTTGGGAACAGACACATGGAAATGACTTAAGGAGAGAAATGGAGCAGAGCTGTGGAGGGAAATGTATTCATTTTCCACTCTGACTTTTAATTAAAGTCGCTTTGGAAGAGGTGTAGGGATGGAATTGGAAGAGATCAAGTCTGTCTTTGTCAGGAATTAGTGTCTGCGCTTTGATAGGTTCACCCTCTGTAACTTTGGTACGAGAGGAAAGTGTGACTTTGAGAATGACGTCCTTTTGGAACAAACGTTATTTTCACAGCTTATTCTAATGCCATCATAACTATCACAGTTTCTGATTGGGTCATTCTACCGATAACAGTTTGCTGTTTTTTATGGATTATTTTTATCTTGGAGGCACAATTTGGGCCGAACCCCACCCAATAAATATTTTCTCTCAATTTGAGCATCAAGCTCTAAATGTTTTGCCAATGTCTCCACCATATGATACATTCCTAACTCTTTCCTCCCTTTCATTGATGTCTCCTTTCTGGTGCTATATTTCCACAGTCTAATGGAAATTGTAACCCCTTTTGTTACGGTGTGAGGGACCCCAGGTGAGGCCCGATCCAGGTCATCCATCAGTCCTGTCACATGTCCCCTCACCCCCTAACTACCCCACAGCCCACATCCCAGCATGCATATTCACAAGAGCTGGTCCCGTCTGAGGAAACCAAATTGCCCCACCCTGTGTATCTCTTTGCTCAGTCAATATTAAAATGGGCTAATAAAGAGCAGCAAGATTCCCCCGTGGTAATGGCCCCCCAGAGGCCCCGGACTAATTAAAGGGCTGCCCCTGCCAATGAACAGTAATCACTCACGGCTCTGGGCAGACACATGAACTTCTGAAGATTAACAAACAAGCTATGAGTGGAAAGAGAACGTTGGTATTAGGGGGACAAGAGAGGCACTTAGGCTTTATTTTGTTAAAAAAAACTTTCTTACATCTGTCTGTGGAAATATATCAAGGGGACTCTGATTATGTGAATTCACAAAAAAGCCACCATCCTTTATTGATTTCAGCTATCAGATGTGACAACAAAGCAGCAGATGTAGACAAAGAGACGTGGGGTGGAGATGGACTTTTTTTACCCACTGTAAAACGGGATAGTGTAAAGTCAAAGTCTAGACACAGTTCATAACAGCACTTAAAGGTATATTTCATGAGCCTTTTATATTTTATTCACTGCATATTGATTATATAATATACGTGTTTATACTCAAATCTGACAGCAGTCCTTATGTATGTCAATATTCAGCTTTTATCTTTTATGTGTTTTTTTTTCAGACAGCTTGTTACATTGCAAACATCACAGGATCAATTTAAGATATTTACCAGTTTTATAAATATCAGCTGGAGTACATTTTAATACTACAGAGTTTTAACAATGTGTTTAGCATCTTGTACATACATTGTCCGTGATGTGCCGGAGGAACGATGTTTTTTTGTCAATGAATGTTGGACTGAGGTCTGCCATGGCATCTTGGTCAAATGCAGACTTTACTCAAATAATTTCAACAACAGGGTAGAATTGAAAGGAGCCCTATTTTTCTGATGTTCAGGTGTACAGTATATCAGTATGTAGTGTCTCTACTGGGACATGTCTCCATGCTTTAATGTTCAAAAAGCTCTTTATTTTTCTCACACTGCCTGTGCTGCAGCACCTCTTTTCACCTTCAGTCTGAAACCAGAGCCCAGTCTGCTCTGATTGGTTAGCTGAACGGCTCTGTTGTGATTGGTCAAACGCTTAGAGACGATTCACAAGTAAACATAGGAGTCCTATGTAGGTGTTTCAGGGTAGGGGGGGAGTTTGTGAAAAAATCCCTCTGGAGAGAACACAGGAATTTTTACCTTTGAAAACCATTTACATGCACTCAAACCTATAGAACACACTACAGGAGAGGGAAAAACCCAAAGCGCAGAATAGGGCTTGTTGAAAATAATTACTTCAGAAAGCAAATGTGTGAGTGTTGTGTTGTGTATTAGTAGAAAGAAATTAATGAAACAAGGGACAGAGGATACGGGTACTCAACTCTTTACTGTTCGTCAGGCTTAACTGCCACAGCATCAACAACCGGGCTTACTCTTCTTCTCTCAACATTGTATGTATACTCTGGTTACACTGCGCCCCCTATTGGCAGGAGTATATTAGAACNCTATAACCAGAGTCTATAACCAGAGACTATAACCAGAGTCTATAACCTGAGACTATAACCAGAGACTATAACTTGAGAACTGATGATATGAACATCGACCCGTTGGTTCTGCAGGAGCCCGGGGAGACGGCGCTCCACCTGGCGGTCCGGATGGTGGACAGGAACTCGCTGCACATCGTCGACTTCCTCGCTCAGAACGGGTAACACCGCAATATAAAGCATTCACTTGTTATAAACACACTGTCAGAGAGAAAAGCTGAGATGAAGGAAAGTACTCTCTGAACATTTCAGTCGGCATCTGGTCTGGTCCTCTGGCCTCACTTCAAAGTAATGTGGCATCTCTCAGTATTAAGTCATTCATGCGTGGATGTTTAGCAGTTTTGCGTTTATTTTTTGTAGTGTATGTTAGAGCTGCTCGATTATGGCAAAAATCATAATCTAGATTATTTGGGTCAATAATTGATATCACGATTATTAAAAACGATTATCGATTTACTTTGAAAACATCAATTTATTGGAGAATTTGTTTTTGAACAGTATGTTTTTAACAGTTGATTACCCTGAACTTTAAGTATAATTCAACTGAAAAACCCAAAAAATAAAATAAAATAAAAAATAATCGTTTTATTTCGATTACGTTGTTTTCGTAATCGTTGCAAGCCATAATCGTAATTTCCATTAAAATACGATTAATTGAGCAGCCCTAATGCTTTGTTAGGAAACCCAGAAACACAAATGTATGTAAGGAGTTCTTCCTGTCCTCTTTAATACAGCTCTGATATGATCTTGGGAGAGTGAACACTAAACACTAGACTGATATCAATGACACACAATTACAAATAGGGGTGCTGGATTACTGTGCATGCTGAATCATCTCCTGTGAATCCCTTATGGAAATGGCAGCGTTAAAATAACACAATTGTTTTGAGAAATGGTGACTGAAGGTAAAAAGATGAGGGGGTGATTTCCTGCTCAGTTTGTAAAATGTGAATAACTTTTTAGTTGTGTAAAAAAAGCTCTCTTTCGAGTAGTTTGATTGGCTTGAAGTTTAATAACAGCCCTCCGTGCCTCTGCTGCTCTCTACCTGAGATCACTGCGTTACTTCCTGCAGAAACCTCCATGAGTCTGAGTGGAGACTGACGAGGGGAACTGACCTGGACACAGTGCTGCTCTTCCCTGATCCTGTGGAGTTCATACTTCTTGCTCTCTCTTTATACTGACTCCTCTTCTGATCCGCCGCAAGCCCAAAGCTACACATTGACATACACACAGAAGCAATAACACACATACAGAGTTATCAACCAGCTGTAATCATCTGTATTTACTCAAAGTAGAGAATTAAATACATGTTTATTACTCACCAGGATTCAGATTTATTGTTACTGGACTGAAGGTGGTTGGCTGCAGAAGAAAATAGGAAATAAAGATCATTCATATATCAATAAAAACAACATATACACACATAATATACATTGTCATGCAAAGGATGATTATTTTCTATTATGAAGTGATTGGTAAATATTGTTTTGTGAAATCTGTCCATATAAACTGCTTCGCCTTCTTTTAATGCAGAGTTTTGCTTTTTTTTGTGGAAATAGTTTATCAAGTGCTCAAGAGATGATGGTCTTCCTGTAAGAGCAAAAGCCTTGTCTTGTCATGTCCCTGCTCTAGTGAAGGAAATTCGCTTCCCAAGAGGATAGGTTCATGTTAGGTCTTATAAAGATCTGCTTTACAGTAAGATGAGAGCTTTAGATTGTCTGGCTAACAAGCTGAGTAACTACAGTAAGTACTGAGCATGCCAAACAGGTATTTTCAACCAACTCATGGTGTGAGGGGTAAGCTTCATTTCCTAGCTAGCTATAACAGATGTCAGACAGTTGTCATTTCAATGAGCATAACCAAAATGAGAAGCTTATTTAAATAATATTAAATAAATACGTCATAGGGCATAAATCTGCTTCAGTTCTGACTTGAAGAATGAATGTAGCGTGTTCACTTTCACTCAGTCAGAGATCTGCAATCTCTCATCACCAGATGCAGGTTTGACAGTTTCATTCAAAGGAACCTGTTGGGACATGTCGTCACGCTACTGTCTGCCGGAGTTCTTCTCTATTTTTTCCACTTAATTTCAGCTGACAATCTTCTTCTTTCTTTAAATGCAGTGTCATTATCTGTTTTAAAAAGGACTCAAAACATCATAAAAACTCCCCTGCAAACTCTTAATTCCCTGGCTTATTTCCATCTATTCACCCTGAATCCTTTAATTAACTAATTCACTTCCATTATGTTCACACAGTGACACTATGATCCCCTTCCTCCTGTCCTTATAATGTTTGACATCATTTAAGCCCATTGCGATCTGTTCATACATGACCTCTCAAATCTTCTGCGCCATTAAAGCTGATGAATGTTATTCAAACATGATTAAAGCACTTACAGTCAGGATATAAAAACATAACGTGAGATTTAGGATGACGACAAGAAGTAGCCACAGCCACTCAAGTAAAGAGGTTTTCAAACCAAACCAAAATCTAAAAATAGTACCATTATCTTTTCTTCGTAATGTAACGTGCACATAAACACAAAGCCAGTGAGCTGAAAAGAAGAAAGGTCGTGAGTGATCAAAGGTTGATGTTTGTGATGATGAAACATTAAGAGGCAACAGTAACATAGAAACTCAAACTCAGTCCTTGTGGCTACAATAGAGGAGACACCAAAGTCCAAATACCTAATTCTTCTTTAGTTTAAAATGAAATAAAATGTTTTGGGCATCTTTTTATAAATACAAATTTCATACTGAAATGATTGTGGAATTTAGAAAAATGCTTTCCAATCCACTTAAAATATAAATTGTTTGTATGCTATTATTCTAAAATAAATATGTTTTTACTAACAATGGATCACATTATTACTTGTTTGAAATGGGGCTGTTCTAAAGCTCAATCTGCATAACATTTCCACCTGACTCTGAATCTCCCTTGAGCTCAACAGATCTTTTTCATGGCATTTCTCAGCACAACGTTTCTGTTTTCAGGATGAAATCTAACTATTGTGCTTTTTTTCAGTCAGAGCAGGCAGCTCTTTTCAGCAAAAAGTTTTAAAACCCCACTGTACACTAGCTGTCCAGCACCAAACTGTGTTCGTACATATTACCCAGATGTTGAACACAGTGTAGCATTCAGCAGCTAAAAAGCCAAACACAGAGCTGTAAGATTACTCAACATTGGATATTATAGGCTGCAATAAGATTGACTTAACCGCCTAACCATAACTGTATACATGCCAGACAAATGACAGGTGGCTATTATTCTGAAGAAGGCAAGATATGCAGAGAATCTGGTATACAGCCTAACAAAGCCTTCTAATAGTTATTGCACTTACACAGTTGTGCAAGACTAAAACACATTTCCTGAGAAAAACTTAGGCGAGGTGCTTCTATGTTGTCATGTCAGGTGAAATTACCATAGAACAAAAATTAAACCAGTTTTGCAAAATCAAGCTGAAGGACAAGTTGGATGTAATTGCTGAAAGATTTAATGACTTGATAGTTAATTATTAACGATAAAATGAATTAAATTGCATAGTTTCAGCACAAGATAAAGATAAATGAAGCGAAGGCTGCTGTTCCTGAACAAGTAGTCCCTGATCAAATCTATCCAACCTGCTGCCCCTCAGCATCAACTCATTAGCATCTATTCAGTCCCAGATTCCACACACACACACGCACACTCATTAGAGTCTATTCTTCACTCAAAAAAACAAACACTTAACATCTATCTATCAGAGCTATGACTGATGTATTCACAGCAGTTCAGAGGAATGATGAAAACACAAACACACACAGAGGACTGTCAGTCAAGCATGCAGTGTGTTTCCACACCTCTGTGATTTGTTTACTTTTGCTTCATGAAGAAACAGGACTAAGGAATGAAGATGGCGCGATGTATGGTTGTGAACCAAGTTCAGGGGATTAGACTGACACTGTTGTGTTTGTGAGACATCTTTGCACATGTGATTAAGCTTTATGGTCATTGTATAAGGAGGTGTGTGGCGCAGTGGATAGAGCGTTGGTGTTCGGATCAGGGGAGCACAAGTTCAAACCCCACTGCAGTCAGCATGTTGTTGTGTCCCTGAGACACTTCACCCCAAATTGCTCCTGTGGGGATTACCCACAGTATTGAGTATGTAAGTCTAACAAGTAATGTAATGTAATGTATCAAAGGACACTTTGTTCAACACAAAGTATGGATGGGCAATAGGGACAAAATAAATTGCAATATTGTTACGCAATTCTTTTGTAGTGATATTGCAACAATTTTGTAGGGTTGGTTTTGCTTTCAACAAATATTTAGAAAATACGATTTTTGATAGATAATTGGCAATAATGTGGATCTAATGACTAAGTCGGCAAAGAGCAACTATAACAGTTAGAAGGAAGCTAATGAAATTACATCACTGTACTTTAATGCAGCGCTTCAAAAAATAAAACATGCCATATTACGATATCCAAAACCTAAGAAGATATGAGTCTCATATCACTTTATCAATAATATATCGATACATTGCCCAGATCTAACACATCCCATGACAATTATAGAAACTCAAAATCAAATAAGCAATGGCGTAACTTCACAACATAGTCTGCATTTTCTTCTGGGCGTTGTACATTTGTGCAAAACCCCATTCTTATGTATATATATATATATATATTTGAAATCAGCCTTGTATCAAAAAACGATCACGTTCAGGCTTAGAAAAAAGGTCATGTTAATGCTAAAACTATATTTATATATGTATTTATATGAACTTGAATAATGATTCAAATAATCTACAGGCGATCAGAAAGCCCAACATCCATATTCTCATGTGAATCTGAGTAACATGGGGAAAATGTCAAATCGCTTATTAGGCGGGTGGCGTCAGTTACTGTAAAAACACATAACTATCCGAACACCGGGAAGGAACTTAACAATGAGCAGAGATCTGTAATCTTATTTGTATTGTGAGTTTTTCTGTGTGCTGACCTTCAGCTCCCAATGAAAGGTCATCTTCAAAGCTGCAGCCGTTCTTCTGCACTCCTGTTCACACGCAAGCACAAGCACACATTTTGAGTAAGCACACAGAAGTAAAGTTACAAAATCCCTTCGATAACATCTCCATAGTTAAACAAGTAACCGCTAACAGTAACCAAAACAAAGTCATGATGGCTCAAGTGTTTAGTCATAAAGCAAAGAGATGTGTCTTAACAGGTTGGGGTCCTCACAATGTAATATATAAACAATAGACACAGAAACGTGGATTACCTTTGCTGGGAGAAGCAGTCTGATCATCTAAGGAGGCTCCCAGGGGAGTCCTGGCCAAGAGACAAAGAGACAGTGTTGGAAATTCACCCAAACCATAAACTAACCATTAAAAACATAAACATCCAAAAGACTTTGAGGGTGTGGGCTTACATAACAAATATGAAACGCCCTTAATGCTACTATCTACTGTTATATCACTGGAACTTAAAATACATTGAGGGAAAGTCCTAACCAGGCAAAACTAAGTACAAACAAACGAGGCAATCATATTTCTCCTAGGATTATCCAAGGTTAAACTGAGGGTAATAATCGACTAATTCCTGTTTGTGAAATTCTCATTAGCCCGTGTTAAGTACTGACTAAGCACTTAACAACCTACAGTAAAGGCCAATCCAATGCTCTGGCTTAGTAGACCCTGATAACTCTTTGACAAATAAATTATAGACTAATTGAATGTCCGAATTAAGGTAACAACTCCAATTTAGTCAGGCTGACGACAGCTATGTCAACGGTAGGTGCCAACTATCTCAGGCTAACTACCAGTTTAACTAAGATTAACTATAGCAACATCAAAGGTATCTTCCTGACAGATAAAGGCCAAGGCTTAGTAACACAGGCTGACTGCCTATCAGGCTAGGGCTATGTAACGCATGCTAACTAGCTGTATTGTGAAGGCTATCCCAAGATAGCTCCTGGTCAGATCAGTCTACTTATTACCACCCACTACTGACCATGCTAGACTGAGCATCCTAGGCTTACTCTTGTTTTTTTGGTACCAGTTCCAGGTTTCCTACTGACCAGACTAGTTGTCCCAGGCTAACTAGCTGACAGATCGGGCAAGTTGACAGCAGCAGTGAGCAAGCAGTTCTGATCTGCTGTGCAGCCAGATGCTGGGAAACTGAGCTGTTACACAACCTGCCACTCTTATCAATGGGACAAACTTCATCACACACACACACACACACACACACACACACACACACACACACACACACACACACACACACACACACACACACACACACACACACACACGCCTCAGGCCCCTGCGGCTGTTGCTATAGTAACATGTGATTCTGATGGTCATGTTGCTACGGTGAGGTTGCATAGCGCCACAGGGTTGTGAGTGACAGCAGTGAACAGTGTGAGTGTGTGATAACAGTGTTAACTCAGCAGGAGAAACACCTCCTCTGTTTACTTTCTTTCTTTCTCCCTTTCTTTCCGTCTTCTGTCGGCTTCTTCCTGCATCTTGCTCTCCCTCTTTCTCTGCCTGAACAGCTCTATGTGCCCTATCTCTGGGCGTTGGTCTGCGCCCTGTGTGTGTGTGTGTGTGTGTGTGTGTGTGTGTGTGTGTGTGTGTGTGTGTGTGTGTGTGTGTGTTCTGTGTGTTGTATGTCTGGGAGTGGCTGTGAGTTGGTTCTACGTCAGCAGCTGATAACACGGGTACTAAACACACACAACTCCAGACATTGGAAAAAAGATATCAATAAACCAGCAGGAAAACCAGTTAGTCATTATTTAAGACCATATTCTCTTTGTTTCCTAATTAAGTCCAGGAACTACTAAGTCCATTTACTGTACATTCCTGATTATCATTTCTAACCAATCAGCAGTTTTGTGATTATATTTCTTCCTAGGCAGTTTCAGTTAATTTCGTACATCAACATTCATAAAACTTGCTGCACTCAACATCTGTCAGCTACATTTTAAACAAATAGTAAAGTACAGATTCATCTTGAAAGTCATTGGTTTGGTCAGGTACTGTACCTGCATTTAATCAGCCAGCTGGCGATGTTGTTAGGCACTTGCCCTGGCAGAGAGACAGATGAACATGTTAAAACAATAGGCCTCTGCTGTGTGCAACAATGATTACAACATGCTATAAAAACCATTGGCTTTGTGGGGATGCAGTGAAGCTCAGCTGTACTTTGAGCTACCGTCAGAACACTTACCTGCTCATAGCCACAATGCAAACAAGCTTACGTTTTGCAGGTATACTGTTTACGGTGTTAGTTTAGCGTGTTAGCTTAATTACATTTACTAACAAACATGGTGTCCTCTATGATGACACTTCTACGATGCTGCTGTGTGCGCAAGGTTTTGCAGTGCGCACTCACAATATACTCGTTAATGAGCAAAGTGCAGCATGTTGTCTATAATGTGTATAATTTACAGTATAATAACCTTTTTTAATGGCTGTTTTTTCCCTTTTATATATTTTCATAGAAATAAATTGTCACCCATTTACTTTAAAAAAGTCGGTTTACAGTTGCGGAGTGTAGCAGACATTAGAGGAACTGTTGCGTGACTGGGCTGGGTTTACCTGGCCTCATCAATATTTATGTTTGCAGATGGACGTGTTTTGTTTGCTGAAAATATTTCACACATCAATGTTCTCATATGACTGATTACTCACTTCCATGTTTGTTATGTTCTATAGTGTCATTTTGAAAGTAAATATGCTTATTTGTTACATGTTAACTTAAGACTCCCATTTCTGTGGCAGACTGGGAGCCTGGCTTTAAAGATGTGAAAACAAACAAAACAAACTCATGAGTGCTCTCTGCAGACACTTTTTCTAAGATATCTAAAATACTCAATACCATCTGCCTTTCTGTTTTGCCACTTCCTGACACTTATCAGTCAACTTATGGCAATACTGACATGACTGTGATAAGGTTAAATTATCTGATGATGGGCAATGAGTGTCACTTAACTGAGGTGTCTGCAAAAAAGAAAAAAAAAAAAAAAAAGGTACTTTCTCAGCAGATATATGGTTAACATGAAACACAGTAACATTTAATATTGTTAAAATATCCCCAGTCACATCTACAGCTGAGGTCAGTCTAACCTGTTTCCTCTGAGGGTGTTTGCTCTTCCCCGGCCCTCTGGTTCTGTTGGGGTCCCTCTTCTTCTGATTCTAGCCAGGTGGAATCTTTGCTCTTTGCCCATGCCCGACGGCGCAGACAGGCTACATTGTAGTCTGCCTGCACTCTAGGATCTGAGGATCGATCAAGCAAACATCTGTCAGACAGCCGGACTACCATGAAGTCATCGATCAGGTTTGGCAGGTATTCAACCGGACTGACAGAAACTATCTGATCAAACCCACACATCAGGTGGGTCGAGCTCGGTGATCATATGCAACAATTCTCGCAATGTATAACTTTTTCAACCACCACTTTGATAAGGGACAATAAAGACTGAGGCCCTAGCATTAATGAAAATGTGAAAGTCCATCCCCTTGCATTCCACTATACAGTATATACCCAGGGACTGCAGATGGTAATTAGCAAACTGCTATAATCTGGTGCCTCTTATCTCTGTTCTTTGTACATGGTTCCTGACAACTAAACCAATAAACTAAAACACATTTAAAGAGTCATGCTGTGTCTCAATGTTTATGCTTCCATTAGTATTTTGTACACTCGTACTTATTTGGATAGTCTGTGAATTTTCAAAGGGTATCGTTGTCTCAAATTGTAGCAAACTGTTCAGACAACAAGGTAGTGTTTTTTTAGGTTAAAAAACGAACTGAATAAAAAATGTATATATAACTTTTATTTGTTTAGTGGTGTTCACAGGAGAAACCCAAACTACTGCTGGTCCCTCCTCTTCCGCAACATGCTAATATGCCGACCGCAGAGGGTGAAAGAGTCTAGCCTTCCACACTCGTCTTTTTGACCATCTTGAGTGCAAAATCAGGTTTTCAAATCATTCTCAGTGTGAATGCACTTCTGGAGTGAGCAAATTGAGACACACTGTCACATTACTTCAAGCAACTCAAACAGGTTTTGGTTAATGTGGGCTAATTTGATATGACTGTTTACTTTTTCAACTGTATACGATACTTGAAGACAATTATTAAAGCTTTTTATCAGTTAACACTACTCAGGCTTATTTTTTAAAAACGGTAATCTATTTTTTTCATCTATTTATTAGAAAACGGTTTATTAATTTCTTATGTTGACTACTTTTTTTAACTGTGAGATGACCCACCTGGAGCAGTGCTGGTGTCCATGGCCAGAGATCCACTCTCCATATCTGCCTGTCTGTGTGTCTGGTTGAGGGCAATCAGTCCATCAGAGGAGACTGACGACTCTATAGGAACATCAGCAACAGGTAACACTCCTGAGCAAGAGAGAGAGATAAAGCACTAATAAAAAGAGAAGAGAATATATCTGAAGCACCAAATAACACATCATGCTGCATTATCAGTCCCAATTGAAACATGCAATGCAGACGCAAACAGTACACAGACATAACAAGCTACACATACAGTACATAAAACACATAATTCGCTCACAATAAAAGCTTTAAATGTCTTTAAATAAGCTCTTAATTGGAGCGTCTAAATAAAAGTGTGTTCAAACCTGGACAGTTGAAACAGAGTGAGGCTGTTTTTTGGTGACATGAGAAGTGGCTTCTATTATTGATGACTGAGTTACCCACACTGAGACCAGCTGAGATTACACAAACACATGGTAACCAGACTGGACTTCTTTTCTTTTACATCGTGGTGTTGCTACTTTTACTTTAGTAAAGCATTTGAGTTTGAGAAAATTTGAGTTTTGTAGTTTTCAACAGCTCATCTCTCACATTTCATGCATCCTTCATCGCATGAACATGGGGTTTTCCGAACAGTTTTTTGGTTTGTAAATGTTTCTTGTGTATGAAACAAGCTTCAAGTCTCAGCAAGTTGATTTATCATAGAAATGAGCTGAGGCCAGAAGCTGCCTGAGGTGTCACGAGATCAATCTGAACCCTGATAAATGATCTGCGGTAACAAGCGGTGTGTGGCACATCATTGCATGTTCATTTAATGCCTTCAACCAGAATTAATTATCTCTAAGAAACATCACCGCTGGACCAGAATCATGAATTTTGTTGAACTTTGAATGAGTTTGTACCAACACAGGAAGGCACACTTCTTAGACATGTTTTTTAGGACTTAAATACATTTATTTTTCATCATAAACTGTGAGGATTTTTTCATTAACATCTTCTATTATTCATGTTGTGTATATAATGGGGACGTTTTCAAATGTATGCATGTTCTATCGGGGGAAAAAAAGCCAAAAAAACAATAAAGATCAGTTATACTGGACTGAAATATATATGTTTGATGGATGCCATGAAGTTTTGTTCAGACATTCATGTTCCCCTCAGAATGAAACATAATCACTTTGGTGATACTCTGACATCTAGGGTCACCATCAGTTTAAAATGTCCCTTTGTCCAACACTATGAACGTAATGACACCCCATCAGTCTCAGCTGCACTTTGTACTTTGATAAATAGCTAATGTTAGCATGGTAACACACTGTAGTATCAAAGCAAACATTATACCTGCTAAACATTTGCATTTGTATTGTCAGCATGTTGACATTAGCATTCAGTATAACCGTACCTCAATACAGCCTCACAGGTGGCTGCAGGCTCTTAGTCTTGCTGCTTGATAAATGAATGTTAAGAAGCTTAATAATGCATTTTTTAGTGATCATACTAAACCTTTTAAAATACATCTATGTTGGTGTTACCATATATATACACTGCATATATAAACCATATATACACTGCATATATAAACCAAACATATTTGATTATACATTTAATTAACTGATGCTTTTTTTCCCCCCCAAAGCAACTTACAATAAGTGCTTTCAATCATGAGCTTCAAATAAGGCAATCAAATATCAAATATACAAACTGTAAATTGTTCCTTTGGTTTTAGTATTACAGTTTCTTTCCCAAAGGTTTTATCAAGAAAAATAGCAAAAATATGAATCTATAGTTCTTGTTTCTGCAATATGAGGATGTGCTTCTTAAATGTTAACATAAATAACAGATTAAATGTTATATTTATTCGACAAATAAATAGGCATAAGCAGCAGCTGTTCTCATTTCTTTGGCCACTTGTCCCTGAGTTCAGTCTGACAGGTAAAAGGTGACCGGCCACCAACCAGCCTTACGAACAGGAACAACACCAGAGTTTACTACTGAGGAAGTCTGTATATAAACAGGAATGTAATAATAGGTTAGGCTACATGGTTACTAACAATAACTAACGCAGTGATACAGCCACAAAGCTGTTAAATAAAACTCAAGATTTCGATATGAAGTAAAGAGAGGAGAAAACAAAGAGCTGGTGGGGTAGAAATAAAATAGTCCACATGGAAAAAAAAAAGAGAAGCATCCAGCCAAATTTAAATGAGAACGTGTGAAACAGGAAACAAGTGTTTGGGATGAATAACAGAACAACTTCCTGTACGAGATACAAGAGAGACAGATGGGAAAGATCCATTTATTTTTAGATTTTTCTTATAAATGCAGAAAAACAACAACAGACAGACAGTGGGAGATCGAGTACAGCGAGTCTTGTTAACACTCTTAAATCATCCTTCCCCTCCCCATGTCTTTAAATGACTCCTTCAGGCTTAAAGGAGGCTACAAAGAATTTGCATTGTCATTCTTTACAGAGAACAGCAGCTGTGATACGTTTGGATTCTTATGGGTATCATAGGATTTAATGGTGAGAATATGATGACAGTAGAGAGAAGTATAAACAATCTAAATAATTAATTATTATATATAATGGTTTCTAACTTCTCCTCTGGCTATCTTTTAGCTCCATCTTTTAAAATGTAAAACATATAAACCAGTTAACACACCTTAACACCTTCAACAGTTATGTATATGAGCAACAGTTACTGTGTAGGTAACTTAGACACCTAAAAACAATACATTTCCAACAATAACTGCGGATTATGTCTTTTACATCATTGCAAAATAATTGTTTTTCTCAGACCAGAGTTCAAATGATCACAACTACCTTTTCAATCTCAACACTATTTGAGTCACTTTTGCACATCATAAAATCCCATTCTAATTATCTTTGGACTAATGCAAATGCTGTGTGAATAATTATAATGTGACACCTCTTTTTATTATCAATTGCTTTGGTCATGTTTATCAAAATGTGCATGCAAGTTCATTCCATAAGTCATTACTTGCAAAATGGTCCAACCCGTTTTCGTAATCTGCCATGTGTCATGTATTAATGCTTTGCTCTATAAGTGGAATATGACTTTCACTTAATGACAGGGCTGAATGTAATATTCTAACTACGGTTTTTATTTGTTAAATATTGTATTTTTTACTTTGTGATATATAGTCCTGTTAAAAGAAAAATATTGTCTGTAAATAAATTACAGTAAAAAGGGCATACATGTGAATTCAGTTACATCTCTTGCAATGAATCTCCCATATGAAGTCAAGTGTAACTGTGTACTGTTGAAATGAATAAACCATATGCTATACAGAAAAATGCAGCCATGAGCATTTACAATCCTTGTCATGAAAACCTTTTTCCATGATTACCATCAGAAAATGCTCAACATAGCTGCATTTCAACCAACTTGTTTGGAAACAATGACAGGACATGTCTTATCATTCAGATAAGACATAGCTATTTACTTTGGACGATAAACAAAGGATTTAGTGAAAGTGACACGCTTCTGCACATAATCCATTGTGTGGTGCGCTTCTTAGGAAATGATTTGTGAAGTGCACTTAATGTTTTGCAAATGTTGAGATGATGAGTATGAAAAACTGAAATACGTTTAGTACATTTTCCTAACATTTTCCTTAATGAAAGAAGTTTACTTTTTATAAGAGTCATTTTAAAGTGTGCTTTTATAACCTTTACTTAAGAAAGGATCTTAATACTTCCTTCACCACTGGCACTATTTCAATAAAGTGTAAAAATGTGAGGATGTTTTACTTTTCTCTGTTTTAAATCATTGTAAATCAAATGCCTTTGAGAGAAAATGACACCCCGACTGTCATCAATTCTGACAGGAACCAGACTCAGAGGTTACGACTGTTGGAATAAAACCCTACTTACAGTTCTTTACCTTGAACCGATGCACAGAGAAACACTTAAACCTTCATCTCACTGACAGTGTTTAACGCTCACTGCAAACAGGCTTAAACAAAGAGCCTGTTTACATCCCCGTTACATCACTGTTACTGTAAACTGCAGGATAACACTATAAGATCAAACAGACGCTGAACAAAGGCTCCAAGTAGATCCTTATGTGCAATTTTAAAGCATATGAAAAGCAGTTACTGGCTAGGGTCCGGTACTTAAGCAAACTGTGATGTTTTTGAACTCTCCTACTTAAGTATTTCTTGTTTTATGAATGGTAAACACTTCAAACAACCTTTTTTATCCAGATACTAATTTTTGAGTAATGCTTGATCTTACGAAGTCTTTGGATAATTCAACTTGTTGTAAATCGTTTGTTTCTGCCTGATTACTGCCATTATAGACTTAACAAATAACTTGTTTAGAAAACAATAACCTGTTCAATAATAAAATAATGATTAAGTGCCTATTACTTGTGACTGAATATGTCTGCAGTGTAAGGCATCATTTACTTTTGGAAATAATGTAAGTGCTCCTTACACCACAGGTTTTCAATTGAGAATATAATTGTATTTATTTAATTTTTATTTTAAAACGAGTGGCAGCCCTACTCGTGAGCAACAAACAAAATGTAAAAACACATTCAGAATACCATTGCCCAAAGTGACCAACCTTCAGTTGTACCATGGGAATTAAAATAATCCTAATAAGGAACATTTTTAATTTTTAAATTAATAGAAAATTGACTGATTATTTGAGTTGTAGTACTTATCTCTAATGTTGGGTAATTTAACATATCTTACTATGTTTTATGTGCAACAAACTTATTTAGCTAAGCTCTCAGAAAAATGTGTAGTAAAAATATCCAACTACAAAGCAGTTGAGTAGGAGTAGAAAGCAAATACCTCAAAAGTGTACTTAGTAACGTTAGTAGAACGTTCACAAGTGTCCATCTCCCTCACATTACACATTAAATGCTGGTGTGAATCAACTCAACTTTAAATACCTACCGTCAAGTAAAAGCCCCATTATTAAATCCACATGTGTGTCAAACTTTTCTCTTTTCGCTCGGAGTGAACTTGTTTGTCCTGTTTAGTAGTTCGTGCTGTGTTTGACACGGAGGACAGGACTGACAGCAGAAAAACACAAACACACACTAACCACAGAAGCGGGACTTCCACACACAATCAGAGGTCATATTAGCGATAAGGTGAGAGGGTACAGGTACTCACCGTCATGTTTCTCCGCGGTTTTTGTCGCAGCTCCCAAACTGTCAAACTTGTCCAAACTTTTCTGAAAACACTCCAACATTCCTGCTTCCGCTTCCTGAAAGCAGCAGGGGGAGAGGGGGGCGTGTCCGCAGCGCTGCAGCCGAGAAACAGCCACGCCTGCCGGACTGACTCCGCACACACAGCACGTCGGAGGAGACGTGGATCCTTTTCATTGCCTTGTATAACATGTGCAACGAAATGCGGTTAGAGTACCATCTGGTTGCATAAGAGAAAAAAAAGAAAAGGCTAGTGGAAGATGATGTGTGGGGTCTTAAAGAAAGACAGACAGACAAAAGAAAGAAAGAAAGAAAGAAAGAACGTGGTGGCCTTGCTTTTACTTGCAGTATCCACATTTAACCACCAGGTGAAGACAACACACCATTGAACTGATGATCGTCTTTAAAGAAACTCTCTGATGCTCTGTGATGATATAACAGCTGCAAAACACATTGATACAAAAATAATGAGGTATTTAAGTCCAAACTAAACCCACTAAAATGTTAATTATCTATGTTCTGATGATGTTAAAAGTCACTCCCATTACCAGGACAATTATTTTCTCTTTTTTTATGTAATTTTAGTCAGAATTAGTATTATGCATTAACTTATTAATTATTATCTATATTAGATTGCGACAAAAAGGCATTGATGTTTTTACTCATACTGGATTGCAAAGATATTGATTTTGAAATGCTTGCTTAAGTTGTTTCTTTATTTGTTTACCATTTGTTTGGATTTTTGGGAACCTTTTCAAAATGAGATAAGATCAAATGGACCTTTATTAATCCCTGTGGGGAATTCAGGAAATTATTCAAGATAATACATCTCAAGGAATATATATTAATAAAAACATACTAAAACACAGTTTCTTCACATGAGAAGTTACCATACATAGCCTACATACATGTATATCTGCTCAAAACTACATAATGATAAGCCTGTTTTATATAAATGTAGGTTTATTTGAATATAAGAGAGGAGAGAGAGAGAAAGAAAGAGAGAGAGAGAGAGAGAGAGAGAGAGAGTGAGAGAGAGTATGTGTGTGTGTGTGTGTGTGTGTGTGTGTCTGCGTGCGTGTGTGTGCGTGCGTATTCGTGAGTGCTTGCATGTGTTCAGTTTCCAATGGTGGCTACCTTTTACGTATGAATAAGGTAATTTGACCTTCTCCATGCACACACACAGCCTGAAGTATAGAATAATAGTTCTTATTCAACATGATGTGGCTCTGCTGCTCGTTTACTTTGCTTAAAATAAGGCAACGCATGTTTATTTATATGGCACCTTTGAATACAAGTAAATTCAAGGTGCTTTACAAAAATGAAAACATTAAGAGCATAAAGACATAGTGCAGAATGGCATTTAAAAACAGCTAAATATGTATCTCCCCTTAATTATTGTCACCTCACTGATGTTTCAAACTCTACCTCATTCCTGTTTCTGCTCCTAATAAATCTCTGTAAAATAATTTAATATCTGGATGTTTAAAACATAAACATTCAAAGCCACTAACAGCTTGGGTTTTGACTGAAAACATCAAATTAAACTGTGACTTTTGTGTGACCTGTTCTGGGTATCTGTTATTTTATTCTTGACTTTATAAAGGACTTCAACTAGAGAAAAGTATATCAGAAAAAAAGTGTATTGTCATTATATATTATAGTCAACATTCATGAGCAGCACAGAGAGAAATCTGCAGTTGTATCAAGTGCATCAGTCCTGGGCTGATGTTAACCATTAGCAGCCAAAGGATGGGACAGACACTCTGGTCCTCTAAAGTTGCCCGGTAACCTCCTAGCAACCGGTGTTCTGTCACCACAGCAACCTCTTCACTTCAGCGCGGTCCAAAGTCTACTGCTTCTTTCCAAATAAGATGCAGTGGATAATGAATGCTGAAAGAGAGGGAAAGTCCCCCATTGGACCATGAGTGGTGCAGGAATGAGTCTTTAACACCAGTAAAAGTAAGCAGGTTTGCACCCCTGTTCTCAAAGTCAATGGGATTTTATCGGGGTTTTGGTAGAATTAGCTTTGTTCGAAAAAAGTAAAGGGAGCACCAAAGTTTGTGTACCAAAGTTTGCAGCAATCCATACAATAGTTGTTGTAGATTGGTCTAAAACAGTTGGCCTGATGCTGGCTCTAGAGGCAAAGTTATTAAAAGATAATGAAGGTTAATACAATCAGGGAATATGAATGTGAATGAAACAGCAATTCAACCAAAAAGACTGACCTGCTTGTGGCACGACAGAAAAGCCATGGGATCATCAAAGTTATCAGGATTCATCCTCTGGGGACGAAGGATTGTCTGTAGCCTATTACATCTCATGGGAAACCATTAAGTGGAATATAAGCATTTGTGGATCAATTAGATTGTGCACATTTGTAATCACTTCCTGCTGGTTTGTCTTTTGTGGATTTAATCAAATCCAACGAAACGCACCAATTTTTGTACCTCACATTTGTGGATTTCTTATTTGTAGGTCAGCTGATTCAGGTGTCCGCTGGGGGACTCAAGTTGACACCTGAACTTACAACAACCAAAGGTATACTAATATGTGTAATTTCACCCAGGATGCATTACAATCAGACCTGGTTATATTATATATTGTCATCATCGCCTTATCTTAGCAACAATAGTGATTAACCTTTACAGACTCAACTGTCAATATAATGATCACACCTTCCATTTCAAGAAGGATATCTGATGCGCATGCGTGGTTTAATGTGGCGACAGATGGTCATTTTTCCTCACAAAAAGAGAGAGAGAGAGAGAGAGAGAGAGAGGGCGCCTTGGCTGATACAAATGGAAGATTTGTCACGTGATCCCCGGGGCCGTTTTAATGACGTGCACACCATATGGCGCGTGCCGGGAGGGCGTGGCATCGATATGCTAATTACCCTCCATGCCCGTGTGTGTATGTGTTCGGTGTGTGTGTGTGTGTGTGTGTGTGTGTGTGTGTGTGTGTGTGTGTGTGTGTGTGTGTGTTTGGGATGCTGAGTATAAAAACAGCATCCTCCCACTCACACACCTCAGAAATCTCAGCGCAGATCACGCACAGTTACGCTCGGACAAGCACTAGAGCGCGCGGGATGCATGTGATCTGACCATCAGCTTCTTACAACAGGTAGGTTTTATTATTTATTATAAAGAGTAATAACTTGTAGCCTACCTTTAATGATCAATTCATCCTCTGTTTGGTTCTTCCTTAAGGACGATACATCTGATTAAATATTTATACCAAATGAATTATATATTAATGATAATTTAAAACAGAGAACAATTAACAGCGATTTATTCAGTTAGTAGTCGTTGGCTCGCCTCATACCTAAAAAATAAAACCAATATTCGTTATTTCCTCAATTCTGATTCGTTTTTCTCTCTTTCTTTAGTTATTTCAGCGTCTATATTTGTAGACTGTTCAATCATTCCTAAAATCATACAGATGGGGTTGCCGTCAGTCTATTCTCCTTTTCTGAAATTAAATATACAATTTCATTTTAAAAACGCATTTTTGGGGGGTCTTTTATTTTGTTATTTTTTATTTTGCTTGACAAATTTGTTTCGTCTTTTTATATTCGGTTTTTCACCACCTGTTAGTCTGCAACATTTACTGGAGCAGTCTTTGGAAAACGGGAAGGAGACATTTATGATAATAATAATAATAATAATAGATGTTTTCCTAATCTTTTAGCAGGATCTACTTTTAATCAACGTTGAAGTCGTGTTTTCAGACGTTTTTCGCCTAAATATTCCACTTTTAATATGAAAACTGGATATTTAAAACGGACTTGATTTTTTCTTCCCCTTTCGAATAGATACAATTATTATTTGATTTACCAGAGATGCAGATTTATACATTGTATTATATCTAAACTGTATTAAGGGTTATTTCGGTATAGTCCGTTTCCTATATGAATTCTGTTTTATAACCGTTTGTGGATTTTATTCTTAAATCATATATCTAAAGGTCGTATATGTTGGTAAATGTGTGATTTGGTCTAAATCACTTTAAACTTGAGTTATTTATAATACAGTTGATGCTACTGACTGAATTATGCCGTCTACTCCGTATAGGCCAATATAAGCCTGTTATATACGAATAATCAGCCTATACTTGAATACGCAATTTAATACGTATCAGAAAGCCTGATCATTTAAGATTTAAACCTGCAATTATTTTTATTTTCGTATAAAAATAATATCATAGCGAGAGCTTTACAGCATTTTTAAAGAAACCCTAAAAGCAGCTTAACTTATAGGCCTCACAAACAGCAGCTCAATTTAATATTGGTTTTCTGCCATTTTATTTAGAAGAAAATAAAAGCTGCACAGCATGCTCACCGAGGATTGCCTTCAACAGCTGGAAGTTAGAGCTGTCTGGTCTCGTGGTTATGACTATTTGTATTTGTAAAATAACAGATGCATTCTGGGTTTATCTTATAAATCAAGATATTGCAAAAATCAACTGCCAAACACGAGTTTGATCACACAATTGAGTTTGTAGCAATGTCAAAAAATATGTGAAAAAATATTAAACCATATTAGAATTATATACATTGGGAACTGGAGCTGTTATTGATACCTTTTACTACATAATGTATAAAAGCCTTAAAAACAGAGAGTCATTTTTATATTATAACTCCCTTAATGGGCAGTTTAATTCTGTTTCTATTAATGAGCCTACAGAGATTAAGTGATAATGAGTTTTTAATTGTTTTCTAATGAGCATATTCATTCTCTAGTCTCACACAGAGAATCAGCATCATGACCAGGTCTCTGCAGGAAGAGCAGGAGTCGGTGGGGTCGGAGGAGCAGCAGGAGCCTCAAAGCCCCTCAGAAGAAGGAGGAGAGGAAGAGGAGGACAGCCTCCTTAACCTGGAGGATGAAGACGAGGAGGATGATGGTGAGGAGGAAGAGGAGGAGGAGGATGGAGAGAACAAACCCAAGAGACGAGGTCCAAAGAAGAAGAAGATGACGAAGGCTCGTGTTCAGAGGTAAATAAGATAGAAAAAAAATATTATCAGCCAAAATGCACAAATATGTTT